CGTCGAACGGCCACATGGTGTTCTGGTTCAACGGGAGAGTTGATAGCAAACCTGCCCACCGCCAAAAGAGTGATGCGCCATGCTCTTCTGACCACGTTGCGCAGTAGGTTACAAATTTCCTAAGGAGATAGCCCTTCATTTTGAAAAGAATGTTTGAGGTGTAGCTTTGGTTTCACTTATCTGGATCCGATGTTGCGTAACAGCCGAATGGTTTGACTATTTCTCGATATAGTTGTTAATTCCATTTGAGGATTATAAACGTAAATACACCGGTGACAAAAGTATCGCGGCTCCAATGCATCAGAATCTTGCACCCCATGCAGTAGTGTTCTGCTGCATCGCTGCTCAAGGCACTCACAAACCAGCACAGTCTCGGTCGGAAATCCGCCTGCTAAAATGCCACTTCTCCTCGTCGATCATTACGGTAATCGCTACAAGCACCGGCCCCAGTTAAGTTAAAATTCTTTTCATCGCTCAGGTAGAGGAATTTTCATGCGTTACTTCAAGCTACACGAGGTTCAGTTCCCAGTAAAGTCGTCAGAACTACGTCCCTTCTCATTATTTTTTACTTCATTCGAAAGGCATTTTGAGTGCTCGTTGTTCGGTTCACGCCGAAGAATGCCATCCAAGCACCGTTTCCATCCCTGATCTATAAAGCAAGAAGATTGAGACCGTGTGTAACAAACTGCGATTATCTTCTTCTTGAGCTTTTTCGCCTTGGTTTTTAGTTGTTTCCGCTACACCTATTGCGCGAGTGAATCAGGATCCAACACAAATTCTGGTAATTCCAGATAGATTATGTATAATGTAAATTTGACAGCGCCGATGTATGTCCATGCACAAACAGCTCGCCGACAACAAAGAATAAAGCAATACATTCTTCCACAAACATGTTGATTCTAGTCCTGAATGATGGTGAAAAATATTGGATACCAAGTGTTTGTCAGGCTGTCACCGCCAAGTTCCGAGTCTTGATCCTATCCACTACCACGCAACTTTGTGAGGCTTTGGTGTTGTGGTGGTGGCGTAGTGGTTCAGTCGCTGTCACTGGCGTGCTTAGGATCCTATGGTCCGAGATTCGATCCCCGCCACCGCCACCCACCTTTGCTGTCGTCCGGTTCAACACCACGCCTAACCTAGGGTGCCTTACGAGGTTCCCCAGTCCAGGGGCTTAGGTAACCGGTTTCCATGACGGAGTAGCAACAGGTCTTTGTGGTTATGGGGTTTGCCCGTCTGCTGTTCACCACACAAAGGTGTGCTGAAAAGCTCAATACACGTATGCAGTTGAGATCTTATTCACTTTACTTCGAATCCCACAGTGTGGGTCAACGATCAGCATCAATGAATAAATGAGGGACCCGACAAATACATTTACTCTATTTGGTGATCACACAATGATAACAAACATTTGTTTCCGGAACATAGTAGAACCACGAAGGCAACAACGCGCGACTAGTGATGCCACTCCAAGTCTCGGGGCGTAGGTTAACGGTTTTCATCACTGAAAGCAGATCCCCGTGACAATGGGATTTACCCCGTTTGTCATTCATCACAATAGTAATAAAAAAACTACACCATCTTCATGGTACAGCGAGATACATTGAAACTGTACGATACTGATAAATGAAAAACCGCACTCAGTTTCAGTCTTTACAACCGTTAACCATGCACTTCTGTGCGCCTGTTTTGGTTGCTGTCTTTGAATCGCCCATTTGAATAAAAGGACTGAAGTTTGGAATATTGAAAGCAAATTCAAACGGAAGGTAGAGAATTCATATTTACTGTTTTTGAAAGAATGAGGTAGATGCAGGAGCGTTTATGGGATTTGCACGCTGTCGTATCCCGAATCTGAAGAAATGGCTTTCCGAGCGTCCAGCAAGGCAACCGAGGTAGGGGAGATCCATCGTATTCGATCGTGCGCCATAATTTACCGTTGTTCTGATCGACATCTGGATTGCTTCCTTGATCGTTGTCCGGTGTTCAGTGAGTCCTCCGTAATAGATTCGATTCGAAGGCCGATTTGCAACCGTTGCTGACAATGCATTGTGAGCAACCGTTATCGGTGGTTGTCTACTGCAAAACCACACTTGTGGCGGAAAAACTATAGCTAACTATGGTAGAATAAATCAAATGCGGTGATTGGTAAGCCTAATGCCTGCTAGCGTTTGTGTGGTATATACTAGTCTGATATCAGACTGTTAACTGGTCAACCATGGTCCAGTACAAGTGCAACGGAAGAAATTAAGTGAAAAATGGCATCTGTTAACGAATAAGAGGCTACCTGCGAATTACCAATGATCATACCCCGCTGTTTCTACTTACCAAGTGGGTGCGGCAGTGACTCGATCAATTCTACAGGAAGGCTACATTGGTTCAATTGGAAACCAACGTTAGTCACGAG